ATTCAGTGTGAAATCTCACACCCCGGCCCCGGTAACTCTGTTCTAGTCACCAGATGCTATGAACATTAGACAAGTAAGATAGATTGAAATGCTGAAATCAAAGAACCAAAGGGAAGCAGAATTGGCTGTGGATGCAGGAAATCCAGTGGGACGTCTGCACTAATCACCAAGCAGCGCAGGAATCTACAATTCTGTAATGCTCTTGCTTTCAAGGACTACTTAATAACCCTGTTCAAGTGCCTGTCCCAGAAGACATTTTTTCCTTTGCAAGTAGTTCAGGCTTAATATTATGGGAAGATGGGGAAAGGCTCTTTGCTGAAGTAGTTTAACCAGTCCCCATCCCATTTGGTGCCAGATTCCACCCCCCTTTTTTTCTTGGAGCAGGACCTGAGACGGCTGAGACCTTAAGAAACTCATGCCCTAACTAGACATTATGTAGTTGTGTAGCTGCTGCTGATTCTTGTCTGCCACATATTTCTTTCCTGTAGTGTCTAGCAAGAAATGCACGAGCCACCATTCTATTCAGCATTTCCTCACTTCTTGCAAATGGGAGGCAAGAATCAGGCAGGTGTCGCCAAACTTTTTTAGGCCTGTCAATACATTTGGATTTTTGAGCACTCAGGCCACTTCAATTCCATCTTCTCAGATCGGCCGCCCCATCAAAGACAGGGAAGACACCCATACGTACTTTGCTTTTCAAAGCTATCCGGGTAAAAGTTGGATCCAGTAGAACGAATCTGAGCATTGAAATGCAGAGATGAAAGAATAAATGGGAAAGAGAGTCACTCTTCCTTCTTCCACTCTTTGTTCTTTCCAAAAGAGAAGATAACCACTCTCACCATTTCATGTCATGACAAAGACATGGGGAAAGGTCTCCAAGGTCTTATGAGAACTAGAGGGAGACCTCAAGAGCACCATCTGATCCACAGGTGCCATGCTGGCAACCACTGAATTAAGAGTGGAGAAATATTGTATGACGTCATGTCATTCAGCTCCTTTATGAGGCATAAGCAGGGAAATGCATGGGGTGGCATGGGTCAGTGGTAGTCAAGATAGCATCTGAAGGGGGATTCAGCTGTTCAAGAATTAGTGGGATAGACAGAATACTGATGTGACTGCTAATATTGTCTCTTTTGATAATCTCTGTTTTGTTTTTAAATGATGTATTATGTGGTATGGAACAGGGGCTACTATATATTACATTATCACAGAGTTCTCTGGATTAATAGCCCTACGTTTTAGCATAATTTTGGAATGTATACTTTGTAAGTGCATCCATGTCTGAATTTTACCTCCAATTTGTAGATGTACAGTGAAATGAGTCTGACAATCAATTAAGCTAATAAATTTGGCTATCTTAAAAAGACTTTCAACACATGGTGCAGTTTATTGTACTATTTATATTTCAGTTATTGTGTTTACATCTTAATACATGCTTCAATTTGAGAAAGGTGGTCAAGAATTTTTAACAAATGAATAAATTAGCCTTCATTTGAATTTGATGCCATTGATGCTACTTCACATGTGAGAACATACTTAGCTACAGCTCCTAGTTGCTATTATGATCCAATTTACTATTATGGCATTAAAAGTGTTATGAAATTTATCACTACAGCATTTACCTTGAGTCATGCATGCTTTGCTATTGGTGCAAGTTTAAGCAAGGTATGTGCCATCATTGTTTAATGTAATTATTCTTGCTGTGCTTATGCCATGCGGCCGTTGCTAATTAACCTTTCTCGAGGGGAACAAGGCTGAACTTCATCGTGGGAGAAGACAGGCCTGAGGAAGTGTTATGAGTCAACACATGTAGCTGATCACAAAGGAGGTTACTGTGTTTTTCCTACTGATCCATAGAAGGTTTCCAAGTAAGATGGGTATATTTCCCTAAGACAATTCATTCTGTGGGCAAAAGCTACAGTCAGATGAAATGAATTATCCTTCTCCCCTTCCTCACCCTTGTTCAACTTTTGGCATACGTACCAGATGTTGTTCATTAGATCTGTCAACAAACGAACAACTGAACCTCAGATTTTCAACACATGTTGCAGTGAGAGAGTGCAGAGATGAAAGGCTGTTAAGTGACCCAGAGACTCTAGCATGAATATGACAGAGCCATATATATGCCTGGTATATATGGGGCAAGCCCTTTTGCATGAACTTGGTTTTCAGAGGCAGAGTGGGCATTAAACATGTAGGGAAGTCGGGATATTTCAACACATGATTTCACTACATTAATACCCTCAGTTCGCTACATGATTAAATCTCATTTGAACAATTTTGGAGGCAGAATATAATGTATTTGCTAAACTGGTGGTGTTTCTCCTTTTTTTAAAACCTTGTGTCACGGTGAACCGAGTGGGGTAACCCTAAGGGAAGGTGAAAATACATTTTTCTGTGTAAGGAAACCTTTTTTTTTAAATCTGAGCTAGGGTTCCCACAGAACTCTCCTGGACACTGGCCTCTTAAAATGCAAACACAATGCTACAACTGTTCATCCATTTATCTAATAAATGTATATTATGTCTCCAAAATTGTTCAGGGTGGCTTACAACAAATAAACTCAATAACAAGTATAAAGGAGATACTATTTTTTTAAAAAAATATTATTGTTACATTGAAGAATTCTGGTTTCTAGCTTACATAGTCTTAGACGTTGCTACAAAACAAGTTAAACATGATTTTCTTCCTTTACTACATCAACAGGAAGATGATGTCATTTATTTGGCCAGATACTGCCCATTATGAAGAACTGACACTCCACACAAATAATGCCAACAGGAAATGGCATTACATAATGCACGGTCTTTTTAATTTTTGGTACATTTTGCTACAGAATCAGCTCTACAATTTCCGCCCAAACAATTACTTCTTCCATCCATATTCACACGAATATTATGTTTTGATTATCATGGATTATCACTTGGAAAAAACCCAAGAAACCACTTCTGTAAGACATTTATTCTATTTTAATAATTTAAGGTCAGAACCTGCATTGCGAGATCATGGCTACAGGGTCCAACACTAAAATGGTGGCATTCTTGTTAGAATGATAGCTTCTTGTCAGCAAGGTTGCTTAATTAACACAGACAACCAGAGAGGGAAGTCTTGTTAATACACAGGCCAGGTGATCTGGGAAGCCAAGAGGGCCCCAGTTATGCTTGTATAAGTCTTTGGTCCCCCACTTTGAGCAACTTATTGGACAGATCAATTGCTGTCCTTTCATTGCATGCCTGCTTGCCTTGGACTTGCAGCTGCTGCCCTTAGAACATGGGTAGGCAAACTAAGGCCCTGGGGGCCGGATCCGGCCCAATCGCCTTCTAAATCCAGCCCATGGACGGTCCTGGAATCAGGGTGTTTTTACATGAGTAGAATGTGTCCTTTTATTTAAAATGCATCTCTGGGTTATTTGTGGGGCATAGGAATTCGTTCTTCCCCCCCAAATATAGTCCGGCCCCCCACAAGATCTGAGGGACAGTGGACCGGCCCCCTGCTGAAAAACTTTGCTGACCCCTGCCTTAGAATCTGATCTTTTCCTGGTCTTGGACCACGGACCACGCTACTTGTCTGTGGCCTCTTTGATTGCTGCCTATGGAAATATACACAGGCTGCATCTGCATGCCAGTTCCCTCTGTGCCCCCTCAACTAGCAACCAGTCGCACTGCAGCCTTGACATCAGACTACTCTGACTGCCCTGTTTTGGACTCCCCAACACCCATCACAACACAAAAGCTTCAATTACTGTAGTTATTTTCCTTAATGCAGGAGTGATTAATCTGCGACACTTAAGATGCCACTGGACTTTAATTCCCATAATCGCAGACAATTGGCCAAGGCTGATGGGAGTTGCCAGTCCAACAACATCCCAAGAGCCACAGAATCTCCTGCCCTGCCTTTAAGGCCACCTGGACAATTTGGATGTCAAATGATTGCAAAATGTGTGCCCACCTGCTCTAGGCATTCAAAAAAGGGGAAGTGAACCCCAGAAGACGGGCAATGCCAACCTAAGAAAATGCGTTTAAAAAATAAGCATTTCTGAATAACTGACGTCAGCCATATACTGTACTGTACTTGTATGCTGTTACTGTATAGTTAAAGCTATGGTTTTCCCAGTAGTGATGTATGGAAGTGAGAGCTGGACCATAAAGAAGGCTGATGGCCAAAGAATTGATGCTTTTGAATTATGGTGCTGGAGGAGACTCTTGAGTTCCCATGGACTGCAAGAAGATCAAATGTATCCATTCTGAAGGAAATCAGCCCTGAGTGCTCACTGGAAGGACAGATTGTGAAGCTGAGGCTCCAATACTTTGGCCACCTCATGAGAAGAGAAGACTCCCTGGAAAAGACCCTGATGTTGGGAAAGATGGAGGGCACAAGGAGAAGGGGACGACAGAGGACAAGATGGTTGGACAGTGTTTTCGAAGCTACAAACATGAGTCTGACCAAACTGCGGGAGGCAGTGGAAGACAGGAGTGCCTGGCGTGCTCTGGTCCACGGGGTCACGAAGAGTCGGACACAACTAAACGACTAAATAACAACAACAACTGCCTCGGTGGCTCCGTGACTCATCATGACAACACGCAGCGCAGCCTCTGAAATGCGTTTTAAGCGGGCCTGGCGCTTTGCAAGCCGTGTCGCCTCCAGGTGCTGCCAGGGAACAAGAAAGGCTCTTGTTCTTTGAAACTCTGGGGAGCCTGGGCCAAGTCAGGCTCGGCGCCGTGCAGCTTCCTTCCCGTGCTTTCAGCGAGCTCTCCTCGGGACGCCTCCTTCCACCCGCCGCTGCGCTTCGAAGGCTCATTCCTAAGCTCGTCACACCGGCGAGGAAACAGCCCGGGCGTCGCGCCTGCGCCCCAGGAGCCGACCGGCTCGCGCGACGCACCACACCACCACCTGCGGAGGGGCGGAGCCAAGAGCTGGGATGCGGAAGGCCCCTTCCGCGCGCAAGCGCACAAAGGCGGCGCCTGGGGAAGGCGGATAAGGGCGAGTCGGAGGTGGGTGGGGTGGGCGCATGCGCAGAAGACGTGGCAGTCTGCGTAGCAGGGACCGAGGAGCTGGGTCGGTCTGGCCAGAGGCCTCCGGTTGTCGGGATGGACGAGGATATTTTGACCACGCTGAAGATCCTCATCATCGGAGAGAGCGGCGTCGGCAAGTCTAGGTGAGGTTCCTGCCCGCTAGGCCTCGCCTGCGGCCTCGCCTTTCCTCCCCGCCCCACCCCGAGTAGGCCTTGCCTGGCAGGCGCCCCCCCAGCAGCCCCCCTCAGGCCTGAGGGCGCTTCCGCCCCCCTTGTCACCAGAGAGGGGCAGGGGGCCAATACCCCCCTCCCACTGCAACTGCCCCCCATGCTTATTAGGGGCTGTTGGCTATGGACTTGGATGGGGTTTACTCCCGAGGAAGCTTGGCCGGATTCAGGCCTTTACTCCCGAGGAGGAGGGAGGGGCGAGTGTCGGGGCTCCAGCTGGACTGGACGCCACGCCCCCTGACTTGGGACACTCGTCCCTGGGGGCGCCCCCTCCCTTGGCTTCGGCGGCCAAAGCTCCCCCTCTGGCTTGTTGTCTCCGCAGATCAGGGCGACGCCTTCTGCATATGCACAGAGGCTCGGTTTCCTCCACACGCCGGCCTGTTGCTTGATTATTGGAGCCTTTTGGTTCTGCAAACATCATCCCGGGGCTCAGCCCCTTACCTCGCAGCCATTGCATCTGGTTCTTCGCCCCTTCTCTGAACTTTGCCTTTGCAACGTGTCTGGGGGGAGTAGGGCACTGTCAGGTTTGCTAGGTTTGCTAGGTGAGGAGCCAACGGGTAGGATCACACGCCGAAGTAAGAGTTGGAAACCTGGGCTTATATTGGAGAAATCAGGATTCAAATGGTCTTTTTCCTCTCTCGTTAAAATGTTTATAGCCCTACCCGGTGCTGTTGGCCTTGCTGTGAAATATAGCTCGTTTATAAAACAGTAACTCAAAATGGCACAAAACGATAAGTAGATGCCACTCTTAAAATAAACAAACTGCAGTGTTAGGCAACAAATGCCTGAGGGAATATAACCAGGACTTGACCTGGTTCTGGAATCAGTTTAGAGTTGGTGCCAGGCAGGCCTGTTGGAAGGTGAAAAGGCGTTTCACCATGGAGCATAGGGCCCTTCCCATGTTTCCACATAATGCTCAGCAACTGAAATTGGGACAGCAGATGTTTGTGAAGAACAGACTAAAGTCTGTCAAGCAGGCGCTCCTCGTGAGTCCCACTTTTAGAGAGATACTCCCAAGTACCTAGATATGAAGTCGTTTAAGGATCTGCATTCCCTCCCTAGTGGTGTTTGCTGTCATAAATAAATATTCTAGCCCCTAGAATATTTCTAGGGGCTTCTGTTCATATCTGGTCTCCTTCTCATTTCTCAATCACAATAACCTTTGCCTTGTCTACAGTGTCTCTCTCAGAATTATTAGCTAGATTCCGCATAATCCCTGTCCTACTATTGCTGGGTTGTGAAGTACAGCCCATTGTGCTTTGTCTGTGTCATAAATTGATCATCAATTTATTCATCATGTGAACTCGTACACTGTTTGGACATCCTTTAGGATACAAAGGAAAGTATGCAGAAGAAACAGCCTATATTGAAAGACTAATTCATGACCTTAAAACCACTTGCACAACTTTTTCACATATATCATGTCTGTATAAATGACAGACATTTGTTTTTACCCATCAGTGTGGTGTTTGACTCCATGGCAGCACCATCAAGAATGCTTCATGTTATTTGAAGCCAGTGTTCTTGTATATGTTACACCAGTATATTTAGTAACCAAGTCTGCTATTTTGAATTTACAAAATTGAAGAGGCTAACAAATTTGTGGAGGATGTGTGTATAAAGTGCAGAGTCAGTGCCCCACCCCCTTGTACATGACTCTGGAAGATGTTGCAAGGACTCAGTGCTGGCAGCCAAGACTTTAGATTTCTTTTGGATTAGGTCATCTCCAAGTATGTGACCTCAGAAAGCTTCACTTTATTACAGCAGGCTGCTTACCTGTAATCCATTGTAAGGAGAGCTATCAACTTGTTTTTTGGTTCCAAACTAACAATTAAGCCTCTGGAATTCTTGCACTTTGGAAAGTAGTTTGATGCTGTGTTAGCTATACAGTTGAGATCCTTTCACAGACCTTTGGTTTCCAGTAGGACTGCAGATGAAGGACTGGCAGGGGAGGAGGAGAGGGAAGAGTGGTGCATTTTTATGCACACAGTCCAGTGTCATATACATGCTTTTGAGTGAACTGTTCTTGGTGAGAGAACTTGATACTCTAGTTATTTAGAAAGAGTGATACCTTCCAGAGACCTGAATTCTGCTACTGTTGGACCCTGGACATTTTCTATCAGAAGTGTAAAAGAGTTTCATGTTTAAGTAGAATTTCAGTAGGTGGGATAGATTTTAGCAGACTTGTAGGTGTAACCTTGTCACCAGTGTTCAAAACTCCTATTGTTCTAGGTGCATCTTGTGACAGGGAATTTCATTGGTTGCAGCAGTTTCTGAGCTCTGGGTGCAGTACTATGCCGAAGATTTCAGATTAAAACTGCAAAGTGGAAGGAAAGGAGGACCCTTTTCTGCCTTCCCACTTCCAGCTACTTTCTAAAGACTGGAGAAGAGACCCTCTTAAGAATATTAGGGCAGTGGGCAGGGGAAGGACTAGACCATATAAAAAATGAACATACTTAAACTGCAGTTCATTCATTTTCAGCTTTGTATTCTTGTTATTGAAAAGTGTGCCTAGATATTCTGTTGTTGCACCCATAACATAGGTTTAAGGTGCCATTTAGCACCTAGCTTTCATTGTTTCTAACACTGCTTGTCACTTATTTAGCATATTTTGTGTGCTGTGCTGTGTGTGTAAACACATACAATATAGTAATCCTTACAGCAGAACCGTGACCACATGGTGAACCTTTGGTCCTCCAGCCACCATGACTAGGGATGATGGGAGTTGCAGTTCAACAACATCTTGAAAGCCAGAGGTTCCCTAGCCCTAGAAGAGTGATTTGTCGTTCAGTTTTCAAACAGAGCCTTTCTTTGCAGCTAACTTCTAACCACTCAGTATTACATAGCACATTCCCAAGTCCAATGGGTATCTCCTGATGTTGCTATCTCAACATTTTAACATTCTTCTACTGCTGTGCAGTATCAGCAGTGTAGATTTTGGCAAATTTCCTTTTTGGAATATGGCAGCCCTAACATACCCTAGTGAGTTCAAGAAGTATAGAATGGAACTCTGTGGCACTGTCTTGGCCAATCTTTCTCAATAGAGCTGCAAGTTTGCTTGCACAAGAGTTAATTGATGTTGAAAGAGGATAAGCTTATTTTCTGGAGGAGGGAGAGTTGACTGTCCTAAAAAATTGAAATCTGGTAGGGAAGAGGGTAAATGTTCTGTTACAATCATGTTACTTGGCAACGCAAATCTGAGATCTGTTACAAATGTCTCTGGTTGGATAGTTATATCTCTGAAATATAATTATTGCAATGCTCATTTTCTCCTCCTTTCTCCATCAAATGCCCTTCTCCTCTGTGCAGCCTTCTGTTACGGTTTACCGATGATACATTTGATCCAGAACTTGCAGCAACAATTGGTAAGTTTTGATGCCTCTGTTATTTAGATCAAATTCAGACTATTTGATAGTAATGCTGTTAAAAGTGGAGACACTGCAATGGAGAAAGTTGATCTCTAATAAGGAAAAGCCGCAGCACTGGCACAAAAATCAGGTGAGATTTGCTGTAAGAAATTTGCTTAAATTGGAAGTTTAGACACCTCTCACCCCCACCATTCCCCCATTGTAAAAGGGAAACATAAGGAAGCTGACAGTGTAGTTTACTCACCTTTTTGTCAGCATTGCAGCTATGTCTGAATTTGTTGACAGGTTAGATTCTGACAAGTCAGATTCTGCATATGCAGAACAAAATAGCTGCTAGTAATTTGAAAACTGCAAGGATCAAATACAGTGGTACCTCGGGTTACATACGCTTCAGGTTACATACGCTTCAGGTTACAGACTCTGCTAACCCAGAAATATTACCTCGGGTTAAGAACTTTGCTTCAGGATGAGAACAGAAATCGTGCTCCGGCAGTGTGATGGCAGCAGGAGGTCCCATTAGCTAAAGTGATGCTTCAGGTTAAGAATAGTTTCAGGTTAAGAACGGACCTCTGGAACGAATTAAGTACTTAACCCGAGGTACCACTGTATATTGATATCAAATATTATAAATTGGCTGAACCTGTGAAACACTTCATAGTTAAGTCTGATTTTGACATAAGCCCTGTATAAGTGAGTGATGGTAGGAATTTGAAGTATGTCAAGTGGAGACACTACTTGGTTTGGAAGCCCACAAATAGTAAAAGCACATGCTTTGCTATCTGCAACTTGTCTTAAAAACTTTTCAGGAGGAGTTGAACTTCCTAATCCTTCTCCTTGTCAAAATTGATACTGTCCTTCAAGCATTTAGCATTTTAAAGTGGGCATTTCTACAGAAACAATGTAATGGTCTCTGTTTTTTGTGTTCATGTATTCTGCATATGTTGCTAAGACTGTACAAAGATCATGGCTATATTTAGCATTTTGGTTTGTTTGGGAGAAGATGTTAATAGCTTTGAATTGTGAGGCCTGCATAGTTCAGCAGTGATGAGGTCAAACAGATCACAGGATAAAAGCATGGAACTATAGCATTTGAAATTTACAAGGCAGGGCTGTTGGAGAGGATTCTGTAAGGGAGAAATATGACGCTGGTGGAATTTGTCATGATCAGCAGGAGTTGCCACAGCTGCCACATAAGATTTTGATGAGAAATAGCAGATTCAAATTTAATGAAAATCACATGTAAACAAGTAGAGAGCTTACATTTGTCTACAGGGGACTTTTTTACTCCAGAAGTGAACCTCTTTGTGAAAAAGAGCTCTTGAGTACATAAATTTGGTTGCAGAGCAGGCACAAACCTTCCTCATTCATTCTGGATGTTTGTCTTGACTGCAAGACAATGTAACCATATAACACTGGTCCTAAAGGATCTACATTGACTCCCAGAGCACAGTTCAAAGTGTGGGTGCTGACCTTTAAAGCCCTAAATGGCCTTGGCCCTGTATACCTGAAAGAGCATCTCCATCCCCATTGTTCAGCCCAGACACTGAGATCCAGCCCCGAAGGCCTTCTGGCAGTTCCCTCATTGTGAGAAGTGAGGTTACAGGGAACCAGACAGGGGGCCTTCTCAGTAGTGGCACTTGCCCTGTAGAGCACCCTCCCATCAGATGTCAAGGAGATAAATAACTATACAACTTTTTAGAAGACAGCTGAAGACAAGGAAGTTTTTAATGTTTGTGGTTTTATTTTATTTTTATCTATTGGAAGCCTTCCAGAGTGGCTGGGGCAAACCAGTCAGATGGGCGGAGTACAAATAATAAAATTATTACCACCACCGCCACCACAATTATCATTATTAGATGCTGCTGAAGCTGATTGTCCCTTCCTTGAGTTGTGTGATGACATTATGGGCCCTCTTACATTTCTATCTCAAAACAAATAGTAAAATGAACAGAGGTATATTTATCATTCTTTTGCTGCCTCTGTTTTGTGAATGACTTCTGCCAGCCAAACAATGCAAAGATGGGTAGTTTATTATGGAAGTCACCATAGATAAATTTTCTGGCCAGCTAATTACAACGTTTGTTACACAAAGGTTACTTTGGTATTGGAACCAGTTTTATATGATGTAAGGTTCATGAAAATGTACACTTGCTTTCTTGACTGTGTTGCATGTGGCAAATTATACGCGAGATTCAGTTTTCCTGTGTGAAATTGATGTTTATATAGAAGTTATGACCTTGTGTAAAATGGGTTGCTTGGTTCTCTGCAGTAGTTTGCCTTCAACATTTAATGTTCTTTGTGTTGGTTTGCTTTTGAGCTGTATTTGATAGCAAAACTTAGAGCTAATTAAAACTCGCTGCTTTTTTCACCTATATCTTGCCACATGTTGCAATCTTGCAGTTCATCTGAAAGCATAACAAGTCATAAACACACGGAATATTTGTCTATCTCCAAATTATTGTGCTAGAATATTAGGTGCAGATAGAATAATGATTCAGAAAGAGCCAGAATTAGTATGATTCCTATCATCCCTGAATATTAGCCATGCTGGCTGGGGCTGATGAGAGTTGTAGCCCACAATATCTGGTATGTTTTCTGTTTTAACTTCAGTCCTTTTCTGGAGAGAACATTAAGTATTCTTCTCTTGTAGGTGTTGACTTCAAAGTGAAAACAATATCTGTTGATGGAAACAAGGCTAAACTAGCAATCTGGGTAAGTCCTAATAACACATGTGAACCTTGCATTATTGAATGATGTATGGATTGACTGATTAATTGATGTTATTCATATGTTGCTTTTCCACATTGGGCCATTGCCAGAGTGGCTTACAGCAAAACAATATTGATACCTGAAGACTTTTTCCAGTGTTATCAAAGCCAGTCCTGGCAAGCAACAGTGTACCTTTTGTGCTGAGCAACTGGTCAGTAGGCTACAGTTCAATAAAACATTTCTGTGGTGAAAGTGAATCTGCATATTGAAAACTTCTGCAGGGTTCAGGTACTTCAGCAAGTAAGTTCCCCACAGGGTAGGGCTGGGCGATTTAGTGATACATCGTACAAAATAGGTTTGAAGTGCACATTGTAGTAACGGTTTCATAATATTTGACATGGCAAATCACAATGTGTCCATGTGCTTTGTAAAAAATTGTGATGTGGGAAAAACCATGAAGCCGGTCATCGCTTCTCTCATGATTCCTGCTACCCTTGTTGCTCTGTACTATAAAATAAGAATTGTAACTATATGTTAAAGGTAAGTGAAAATGTATCTGTTTTAGAAGCCTAAGTAGTTGCAGTTGCCAAGACAATTGCCCCATCGCCTCCAAATAGTTACATCCTTATTTCAGACATTGTGGTATATCGGGATATCACAATGTTTTCCTGGTGATATATCACAATGTTGAAAACAGACATTGATCAGCCCTGCCATGGGGGGAACTAGCTCACATGCACAAATCAAGCAGCTTTGAACTCCCCATCAATCAGCTGATGCATGGGAAGTTCAAACCTACTTAACAGCTGCAGGACCAAGGTACATCTCAACCCAACTCAAATTCTAAGAAATGTATATGCAATAAAATAATTATCAGTACATAATCAACATTTATTAATCAGTTATTTATTAATCATTTCAATCATTGTGACTCTTAGAAGTAAAATAAGGAAGTTAAAAGTAGTGAAACAATACTATTCTTTTTATCTTCTCTAATGAGATGATTGGGCGTTTGAATATTGGGCTGAAAGTTTGTGGATTTGAGTCTTAAGTCACAGCATTGTTTGACATTCAGCCTGTTTATTTGTTCAGAAGAGCACAAACATGGCTGAATCCAGCTTTAGCCATGCATGATGTTGGAAATACCAGCAACATAGGTTCCTTATTGGCAAGGGAAGTGCACAGTGTACAAGCTCTTGCCCTTTGTTCCTGAGGCTCATAGTTCCTATTACAAATTTTTTTTGTACTGTGCCTCATAAAATTCTTTTCTACCTCAGGCCTCTTTTAACCCCCTTTCAATCCTTTAGTATTTATTTGCCCTCTGCACAGTTCTACTGCCCTCAGGAGGATCAATATTGACCACCTTGGGAAACCCTGCTATAGAAGAAGAAATGGCTAGATAAGGTCTATAGCACATAGAAGGAGGAACTTTGTGCATATTTGTTTGTAATGGGCAAATAGAATTGTATGTCTATTGCCATAGGCTTTAACATAGTAAAGACCTGCTGTACTCTGCACATGATACCTTTGTAGAATCCAGGAAGTGTATCCTGTTAAGCTTTGGCATGAAAAGGTTTGCAGTCTTGAAGATGCAAATCAGAAAGTTCTTTCTAGGTGAAAATACAAAATATCAGAATGCATGCTGCCTGTTGTGGGATTTGCAGGAAAAATCTGTTTAACTATGTCAAATCAGTTCTCAAAATTGTCTGAATTTTTTAGGACACTGCAGGTCAGGAACGGTTCAGAACGTTAACACCCAGCTATTACAGAGGAGCACAGGGTGTTATATTAGGTAAGCATGCAGCTGGTTACTGCTTATCTGTACATTTTCTGATATAGGGCATGATACTGAAACTCTTGGCCTCACGGTAATTTTACCATTACACAGGCAAATGGGTGGCAAATTAGAAATAAGAACTGTGGGAATTGCTGGAGGGTGGAGTTCTGTAGGTAGCTCTTGCTGTTTCTCTTCCTTCCCTGTCTGCAGGCTTTATTTTACTGGGTGAAGAAGCTGCAGGTGGTTTTTCCCCCCCAGATTGAGTGCAGGGTGATGTTTTTTCTCCAGCCACTGTGCTCCAGTTCCCCTCCTCAGCTGCTTTTCTCCCAAGGGACAAGATACAGGCTCTGGAATTTCTCCCTGTGTGTGCTCGCATGTAAAGCAAGTGTGGAAGGAATTTTGAGCAGGCACATGACTGACAGGCTCAGGGTTACACATCCTCCAACTGCTATCTGCTCAATCTGATGACACAGGCATCTGCTTCACTTAATAAGAGAGGGGAGAAAGGGAAGCTACAGTACATTTCTGGCCAGAGTTAGCTCTTTCATAGAAAATGAAGGAACATTCCTCCAGGTAATCCTTGAGGTGCTTGCTTGGGAACCATCTCCAACTTGCTGTAGTAGTACATTTTAATAGGTTCCTCCATCTTCACTTCATTATCTACCCCAGGGGTGAGCAGACTTCAAGCCTTATGTTTTAATAGTACCCTGAGATCCACCAACTGGAGCCAGATTCAAAAGAAGACATGTCTATAATTAAACAATTCTGAGCCCATGAAGTTGTGTTGAGTACCAGAACTGAATGGAGCTTGCACCCCTTCCACACAAAATCCACTCCCCTCAATCAACATAATTTAGAGAGGGAGGAAGTAATTTTTTTGTCAATATACCTCAAATCACAGAGCTTTTGTGCGTCTCTGATCTACCAAAGGTTCACGAACTTACAGCTACTGAAACCTTTTGTAAACAATATTGCAATTGTGTTGGCTTTTCAATGAGGAATAATGCAGTTAGGTTCTCAGTGAGATAACTACCTGGATTGGAGGCCGGAGCCATCCAGTCAGACTTCTTTGTCTAAATACATCACCTGGGCTGAGTCCCTTATAAGAGATTAAGCCGATGTCTAGTTGTCAGCAGCTACTTAGCTTTGATCAGTCAATGGCTGGCAATTCAGAGGAGTCTCAACCTTGCAAAATGGACTTCTGGTTCTATTGTTTATTGTTATTAATAAAAATATTTGTATACAACAAATTTATGTAAAATGCCAAGGTGTTGTACAACAACAACATATACAATAAAATACTATAAAACAATAGAAAGTAATCATTAAGAAGACTAGGCAATAAAAAAAAAGTTTGAATAACTGCATAGGCCTGTTGGCATAAAAAAGTCTTCAGGTGACAGCTGAAAGTCAGTAGCAAGGATTACAGTGGCTGATTGCAGAAGAGGACTCAGAGGTAATAATAAGGGAAGAGCCACAGTTCAATAAGTCATTTACTGGTATCATGGCTCTGTCTAGTTTCTAAACTTTGTTGTCATAACTAAATTCAAGGCTGGCCATCTCATTAGGCAAGCCCCTTCCCTGAGGTGGCATGGGATAGGTGGAGGATTGGTCCCACCTGCAGATCAGGCATTCTCCAGAGCCCTTTCTCGGTGCTCTGGTTGGGGTGGGTGGGTAGGTGAGTGAGTTTTGCAGTGCTGCAACTAATTTGGCAAGAGAAAGGGTTATAAATGTGAAGGTGAAATGTTTGTTTTGTTCTTAACCTTGAAATACATGCATCACTGACTGCTATTAATTCTTGATTTCAGTTTATGATGTCACAAGAAGAGACACTTTTGCTAAACTAGACAACTGGCTAACTGAACTAGAAACATACTGCACAAGAAATGATATAGTTAAAATGTTAGTAGGAAACAAAATCGATAAGGTGAGTAGCCCTGAAATACATTTCCCCCCTTTGATTCATAAGCTTATTTTTATAAGTGTCTGACTGTTCTGCTTGTTGTAGGAAAACAGAGAAGTTGACAGAAATGAGGGTCTCAAGTTTGCCCGAAAACATTCCATGTTGTTCATAGGTAAGTCCTTAAAAAGGAATGCAAAGTGTGGTGGGATGTTCTGTTTAGCTGCAGTTGTTGTACGACAAGATACAATGGCTGGGGTTGTGGTGGTGCACGTTTTGGAGGATCAAGCTGTATTTTACAACAGGATTAATGTAAGCTAAGTAAAGTTGTGGAACTAAATTTGCAAAGTATATGCCACTGTATTGTTACTTTATGTAGGCCATGAAATATGACAGCTGTACAGCTGATGTCACATTGGTTCTTATTTGGATGCCAGGAGTACCATCCACCTGGCTCTGTTGCTGTCCTTTTATTTCAATGAATTGTGCAGAGGAATCTCTCGTGGGTCCCATTAATGGGCAAAGGTGGTGAAACGGTCGCAGTTGCCTTGATTTAAATACTGTTACATTACCTTCTGCCGGGACACAGGTGGCGCTGTGGTCTAAACCACTGAGCCTAGGGCTTGCTGATCATAAGGTGAGCGGTACGAATCCCCACAATGGGGTGAGCTCCCATTGCTCGGTCCCAGCTCCTGCCAACCTAGCATTTCGAAAGCACGTCAAAGTGTAAGTAGATAAAAGCGGGAAGGGAAGGTGTTTCTGTGCACTGCTCTGGTTCGCCAGAAGCGGCTTAGTCATGCTGGCCACATGACCCGGAAGCTGTATGCCGGCTCCCTCGGCCAGTAAAGCGAGATGAGCACCGCAACCCCAGAATCGTCCACGACTGGACCTAACAGGGATCCCTTTATCCTTTTTACCTTTACATTACCTTCTAGCTTGATTTCAAGAGTCTCCCATTTCATTGCAGAGCCCTTTTTTGCTAAGAGAGGTAAAGATAAATCTGCTTCTCTTTCTGCATCCCTCTTCCCTGAGGATGCAGTTTCAAAGAGGAAGGTGCCAGATGCTGCCAGTAGCTCCTGTGGGAGTTTCAGTGTGCTTTTCAGCAGAACTGGTATTGCTGCTGTTGCCTCCTCCAGGCACTGACACCCTCCATTCTTCTGACATGACTTCAGTTAGCAATCTGTCTCTCCCTGAGAAGGCCGGAGACCATGTTTGTTTACTTACATTTTGACATAGTGTGTTTGTGTGTACCGTTTGATGAAATCTTCACGAAACACAAATCTTGGGGATGAGAAACTCAAAGAATATTCTTTACTTGCTGTGATACAAAAGCCTTTTTCCAAACTATCAGTTTCACTAAGCTTCAAAAATTTTGCACCTACATTGGTGTGCAAACGATAGAGCCATGGTGCTGTCTGCTTAATGGAAGAGGAAGTTGGGACAACATACAGTGACACATGTTTAACATTTCATCTCTTCTTCCCCCCCCCCCCCCCCCGCAGAGGCAAGTGCAAAAACATGTGATGGTGTACAGTGTGCCTTTGAGGAGCTTGTTGAGAAAATCATACAGACTCCAGGACTGTGGGAAAGTGAGAGCCAAAACAGAGGTGTAAAGTTGTCAAACAATGAAGAGGGCTATCGAGGCGGCTGCGGTGGCTACTGTTCTGTGTTATAAACTCCGGAAGACTTATTCTTTGGTGTATTTAAATGGATAGTGGTGTCCTCTGTACATAAACTTACATCTGCTATTTTAGGGACCTTGCGGTTTGCACATATTTGTGTATCACGGCAGTGAACATTTTTCTAGGAAAATGTGCTCTGCAGCTTTTCCAGTTGAGAAGTGTTATGGTTAGCATGCCTAATTTGAAACGTATAGGTTCTTTTTATATGTAGCATAAGAACTTGTTGCAGGAACAAAGACACTCAGATTTCATAATTATCATGGAATTACTTTGGGGAAATATTTCAAACACATGTTGGCTTCATTCTGTTTAACTCGGGTCTTTAACTCAACTATGGCACTGTTTGAGGCACACAAATCTCAAATGGTACAAGTCGATACATGTAAAATTTGCACAATTTTATTGGCAAAGGCCTTTTCTTACCAGTTTAACAGCATGGATATACAATCCCTTTTTAGCTTTAAGCAACACTTTTTCTAGCTTGTAACTAATCCCAGTTAAAATCTGTGATCTTGAAAGAGGTGCAAATTACTTTTGGCGGGGGTTGGGTGAAAAGAGGAGATTTTAAATTTTTTTCACTTCAGTGAATACTATGATTGTCTAATTGGATTTTTTATTTTTTTTAATCCTGAATGTGTGTGCGCGTGGCACTCTTGCACCATGGCATTTATGATGTAGTGTGCTATGGACCTGCAGGAGATTTTTTTCCTTTAGGTTACAGGCTTAATGGAGTCTCATTGTGAATCACTTTGCCAAGCTTTGAATGCTTATTTCTAAATGTTAGCAATGTAATTTAATTTCAGTAACTCAAAACTGTTGCTCATATGTAATTTGAATGGTCTGAACCAGATGACTGCTCAACTTGTGGCTGTTGGTTCTGAAGCTTAAATAATGTTTAAAAGCTCTGTCTTCTGGGTGTGTATGTGTAAGGCATGTGCTATTTCATTGGAATTTGCTGTAACAAACAGCCAATGAATTGCTCATTTCAGAGAACTTGTATAGACTAATAAATTTTTTTCACAGTATTCACTTTTTTGTAACATCTTCCTCATGTACAGGTGAATTTTGTAAGACACAATTGAAGATCTCTTGGACTATTGATCCTGTAATAGACAACACTAATGACTTAAAATACTGTGGGGTACTGATATTTTGCAGTATGAGCTACTGTGCAATTTCCTGTAAATATATACAGTAAACTGAAATACCTTTATAATGTTGCTTTTTTGTACACAAGGGCTGCACACCATCTGGTCTTTCATCAAGTATATGAGCTGTTGTCACTTTAAATACATTTTACTTAAACCTTTAATTTCCACTTTTTACACTTGTTGGGAAACTATTAGAGTTTTGAAGTTCTATAGCCCAACATTGTAAGTAAAGGTTCACACTACTTAGGCTAAATGAACAGTTTTCAGATGTATGCCGCCATTTTAATATATGGCACATTTGCTGAACTGCTTATTGCCCAGTGTAAAGATGGCAAGATGCCTCTTGAATAGATGGGAGAGAATCATATATTATTGCAGAGAGGTGTGTTCCTAACTACAGAATAAAGATTGAAAAGCATCTGCCATCTTTTTATCATAGGATTATGTGCTTAAGTTTTGTGTGGTGTCTTGTTCTCCGTATTCCTGTTCTTCAATAACCAAAGGAACCTTTGCATTTCACTTGGGATGGAGGCTGAACTGATTAACTTAACCGGTGGTTGTATTTGCAAAGATAAGAGGAGTGGCCCGTGTACGTCTTTTTTTGGAGGCCATTCTGTAACATGAAACTTGCAAGCACCCAAAAGTGCCTCATTTTGAATTTCTTCTAACTTTTCCCAAAGTCTATCTTAAAATTTATCTTCTGCAGTCATGAATGGCTTGACCAATATGAGCATACCACTTTTATTTCGACATTTTCCTTGGCTTAATAAAGGCATTGCCCTAATGTGGACCTAGAATTCTTCTTTGATAATCTCTAGCCACTTGCTTTCTGTTTGGGTTAAACTTTTTTTGATCCCCATGTTTTACTAAGGCAACGTGGAGCAGAAACAAGGGGCCAAGAGTTGACTTTTCCATATCAAAGCAAGTGCTAGGCAAGTACCGTATTTTTCGCTCTATAAGACGCACCAGATCACAAGACGCACCTAGTTTTTGGAGGAGGAAAACAAGAAAAAAAATATTCTGAATCTCAGAACCCAGAACAGCAAGTGGGATCGCTACGCAGTGAAAGCAGCAATCCCTCTTGCTGTTCTGGCTTCTGGGATAGCTGTGCAGCCTGCATTCGCTCCATAAGACGCGCACACATTTCCCCTTCCTTTTTAGGAGGGAAAAAGTGAGTCTTAAAAGAGCAAAAAATACGGTAATAGTTGGTCACAAATTTTCAGCTTGTATCACACAGCTTATCCCTTTGTGGATATGTTTTGGTATTGCACTTACTGCAATGGCTTTTACGGTTGATGAAACTGAATCAAGTAGCAGCTGCATCAGTTTACTTTTGGCACTTATCCAATTCTCTCAACCATTCCTCATAAGGCTTAGTTTTCAGACTCCTGATCATATTGTCACCCCTCACACATTCCAGCCTTTCAGTATCTTTCTAAATTGTACCCAGAACCAGACACAGTACTCCAGGTGTTGCTAAGGCAGAATAGAGTGGTACTATTACTTCCCTTGTTTGGGACACACTACTTCTGTTGATGTAGTGTAGAATAGCATTTATTTGTTTTTATTTTTTGCTGCAGCACCACGCCATTGACTCATGTTAAGCTTGTGGTCTACTGAGACCCCTCAATCTTCTTCACATGTACTACTGGTAAGCCAGGTGTTTCCCATTTGTGCAGCTGGTTCTTCCTGTCTTAAGTGCCGAACCTTACTTTTGTCCCTATTGAAATTCATGTTAGTTTGGGCCTAGTACTCCAATCTGTTAAGGTCATCTTGAAGTCGGATTCTGTCTTGTGGTATTAGCTACCCCCCCCCCCCCCGGTCTGGTGTTACTTGCAAATTTAATGGCCATTGCCTCAACTCCTCCATCCAGGTCATTTATAAAGACATTGAACTACAATAGCCCAGGACAGAACCCTGGGACACCCCACTAGCCCCCCTTTTTCCCAGGATGATGAGGAACCAGTGAGCACTCTTGGGGTTCGGTCAGTCAACCAGCTACAAATCCACCTAAACATTACCTCATCCAGCCCACATTGTACCAGCTTCTCTGCAAGAATACCATTGGGGACTTTGTCAAAAACATTACTGAAATCCTGATATACTATGTTCACAGCATCTCCCTGATCCAGCAAGCTTGTAACTCTCTCAAAAAAAGATTCATCTGGAATGGCTTGTTTTTGAGAAACCTATGCTGGGTCTTAGTAATCATAGCGTGCTTTCGAAGTGCTCACAGATTGATCGTTTATTTGTTCTGGGGCCTTTCCTGGTATTGATGTCAAGCTGACCAGTCAATGGTTACCTGGGCAATCTTTTTTTGGTGGACAATAGTCTGAAAAAAATCATTTTCTGTAGGCATCTTCTAGGATGTGTGCTCAGTTTATGAGAAGCTGTCAAGCAGCTGGTTGTTGCCCTGCCAAACAGAGTGCTCTAGAAAATATCCCATAATCCTTTTTCGGTAGTGTAGGAACTCAGTGGCCTGAAGCGCTGTGTAAAAAGGACTCCCTTTAAGGCAGACAAATTGGAAACGCTGAGCTATATAGCATTGTGCTCTCTCGAGAGAAAGACTATGGAGACCTACAAGTCAGTCACATAAATATGTTCAAGCTTTTTGGGTTTTAGTTTTGTTGCCAGAGTTCAAAAATTCATAATTCATCAACAGTTATTGTAGCTTGCTCTGTTCCGTTGGAGCAGAAACTACCAATCAATATGAAAATACATTAGGGGAAAACATAACTTGGCCCCACACGGAAATGCGTTTAGAGGAAAACAGGCAACTCTAATTTCTCTGGCAGATGTGGAGTTGAATTACTAGATTTTTTAAAAAGAAAACCCCACACACATTTATTTTAAATTCTAATTTGAAGAGGACTTCCACTTATTTTGTGCCATTTTTATCTTTCATCTGACAGGAAAATCTGCCCTCCTAATTTGAACAACTTCCCTTCCCCTCAAGATTATAGTCTTGTCAACGCTATATAGTTGAAACCACATTAGAATGGTTGCTAAAAATACATTATCAGCCACATGTAAGTAATTAGCATTAGTGCAATGCTTAGCATGGTTGGTGAAAGGTTCCATGCCTAAGTTGAAATAGTAGGGAAAAGTGATGAGAGCAGGAACTGCTCAGCTGCCCAGCCCTCTCCAGTCACCTGAGGCTCAAGATACAGCGCTGTTAACGGTGGCGTTCACAATCTTGGCAAAGGTGCATGCGTGCATCATGCAAATCTATTGCATAATATTTACAAGCAATGAGCACTGGGTTTTTCTCTTTTGATTTACAGTTATTTTGCAATCTCCCTCCTTAAAAATTTAACTAGCATTTAGTACAGCATGGAAAGGTTGGGTTTGTTTTTGGCATATCTGTTTTTGGGATGAAAAGAGCTGTTTGGTGGGCAATTCCTACACCCCATCAAGAGCCCTGTTTCCCCAGGATGGCTTCTTCAACCCACCAGTCTATTTGGGGCTTCAGCTTTCCCTGCCCTTATTTTTCCCCTCCAATGCATTCCAACAAGACCTAGTCTCCCTGGGAATGTATAGGGATAATGATGGAGGACAGCCCGCAAAGCTGGTGAGGAGGGAAAGCTTTCCAACGAGACTTTTGCCCTCCCCACAATGTCCCTTTACCGATCATTTTGGGGGGTTACTGTCCATTTTCTCTTCCCCTCCAATCAATTAAACCCCTGTGCATTCTATTGAAATGCATTGGGGTAAAAAAGAACTCACACTTGCATTCAAATTGCCTGGGCATGGCTTTGAGAGGCTGCGATAGGACTCTCTGTTCCCAGCCTCACAATGCAGCGTGGGGTTGCCAGGGCTGTGTAAGGAGCAAAATGCAGCCCCCCAAACTGTGCCGGGGTGACTGCCCCTCTGCCCCCCCCCAGTGACACCACTGAACCCGAGACCTTTTCCGTGGTAGGAGTATGGTCCTCCATTTAACTATGGCTCACCTCTAGGAAGCAGCGAGGGCAAGACAGAATCGCAACTGCAGAACTCATTGCGCGCTACGCCAGAAATGAACTAATCCATTGTCAGGGTTTATTTTTACGATCCACTAAGTGTGTGGCAACTGCCCTTTTCAGCCTGTTTGTACTCATATCCATCTGCGGTGCCCTAAGCTGAGGCCTCTGCGCATGCTGGTGCCACATGCAGAACTTTGCACAAACGAGCCCCTTGCACATCACCCACTGCCACTTGAGAAGTTACTCATTTCATGCAGAAAGATGATCTGGAGTCCTGCTATTTATCTAGGCATTTCTATGCTGCACAGTCAACTGGGTCCTCTGTGCAGTTTGAAACTTGAAACCCACAAAATGCAAATGCAATCAACCATACTCAAAAATATGCTTTCTAGATCGTTATCTGCAGAAACTGCAGAGACTCCCAAGCCATTCTTCCGCTGGTACTCTTTCCCCATTTGCTGCGGAACAAAAACCGGAGAGGTGATTGGAGGCCCAAGAAAGTTTTTCAGGTACAGTAAGCCTGTTCATAGGCTGACATGGGGAGTGTCCATCTTCTCACATAGCACTTCATGAGACACAGGATTTTGATCACGCTACCTGGATTAATTAGCTGACTGACATCAGGCTATTTGTGCTATCTGTGACTGTTTCTTGCTAATGCTTCCCTGCCCCGCTACAGGTATTAATAAATACCCTCAGAAATGCTAAGTAAATAATCTCCAATCTGCTGCAAAGAGGTGTGCCTATTTAACATCCATTTAAGCTCTACCGATCACGACTGTAATTTTTGCCGGTCAGTTCCTACCATACAATGTTCTCCTTTATACACCTGCCAACTGAGCTTTTACTTCATTCATCTGACGAAGTAGACCTGAATCCAGGAACACTTTTTTTTGGGGGGGAGGGGAGGGAATCGAACTAGATTTATGCACATTTGAAATTGTATTCCAGTCCTGAATAGAACGTGGCAGAATTTAAAAGACCCTTCTGCTGTTAAAATGCCTTAGAAGACAACAAGGGGCAGATCTGTATGCTTGGGAGGCTCTTCCAGATGTCCTCTTTGTGAGGAGGTTAGATGATGCTGTGCCAAAG